TCAGATTTTTCCTCATAGGAAAGCATTGATTCAATGCTTTCCTCTGGTAAGGCCTAAGGCGCGCGGCATTTGCAGCGCATGAGTACTAGATCTCGTTCGTCGCGGGAGGGAGGAGGGGTCAACCCAGTGCCGAGGGACATTGGTGCTGGGAAAAGGTGAGTAAATAAAGGGGGTTTAAGACTTTGTTTACTGGGGAGGGAGGGGGCACAAAGGAGCGGGTAGGCAGGGGAAGCAGTAGTGCCAGGAATACAGTTTTGTATTCCTGGCACTACATTATCCCTTTAAGTTAAGGAAATGGGGATTCTTCTTTTACTCTATGAGGTCACATTATGTTTATACCCAAGGTTTGTAATCCCAGAGTTATTTCTACAAGTATATATTTAATATAAAGTATATGAAAAAAAACGGAGCAAAAAAAGAAAAAAGGTGATTGCATAATAATGTTTACAAATAGTATAACTGTTGTGTAATTCATTTTTACTGAAAACCTGTTTTCTAAAATGACTTTTCTTTTAAATATTTTTGAATTTTTTTTCTGTTTTCCCAAGTTTAAAAAAAATAAATTAATTTGAATTGTTCTTCAGAATTTTTCAGAATTGCTTGCAGGTATCAGGCTTTAAAGGGTTTAACACATAACAGATACTACAAATAGTGGCTTCTACTTAAAGATCTGTAAGAAACTCCATACTAGACTTGGAGAGTCCTTATATTACAAATGGCAAGTCGTCTGAATTCAGGCAGATTGGTTGATCTTCCGTTACCCAATGTTGGAAGCGCCATAAAGACTAATCACGAAAAAAAACATATATAAGTTAAGGGTTACCAGCACCTCAGGTTGCACCCCTCTTCTCGGACAGGGGAAATAACAGACAGATGCGCTACTAAGGTCTAATGCAAACCTTATCATACAACTACTCTGTATGCCTCTCTCGTACGTCTTCCCAACATAATTATATCACACTACACATATCTATTTCACACTCAAGATATAGCACACTCCTTCACAATCTAGACATCCCCGGCATACTTGTTGACACCACGACTGCATATCTTTTATATAAAACTGTGCTGTGAATATCTATGCCAGACCGATGTTGATACATGTTCATACATATGCCTATATTTACTGTTGTGGCACTGTAGGCACGTTTGTTTATTTTGTACAATAAAACAAAGAATTGTAAAATTTTTAAAATAAAAACTTTTCTAAGGACTATTTTTGATTCAAATTGAGGCTTCAGAGACTTCTTATCGCTAATACATATTTTGTATATATTATCAAACTGTTGAAACTTTTTATGCAATTTAGTGATACACTGTTGCAATGTTATACTGCTAGGGCATATCAATTTGTGTGTGTATTATATATATATATATAGAGAGAGAGAGAGAGAGAGAGAGAGAGAGAGAAAGAGAGAAAGTAGGTTGTATCTTATTTATTTATGTTTCTGTTTTTTCAGTACCTAATAGGTTAATAGGTTACCTTTTTGTTCACCCTCCTCTCTCTCTCCTTTCTTAATTTTTTACTCTTAATTTAGAAATTTCTCTTTCCCAAAAAGACGCTCCACTTAACACATAGTCTATACATGGCTTAGAACTTATTGGATTCATTTTGCCTGTGCAGGAAAAAGCTATTTAGAGATTACGGTGTGTAAAATAAGTTGGTTTTATAAAGTGCTTCATCAAAAACATATAACCAAACACAGGCAGGTTAGTCAAACAGCATTTTCAATTGGAGTTGAAAGGTGAAAAACCGCATATAACTATAACTTTACTGGGTAGTAAATACACATTGGAATGTGTGAAACACTTAAGCTTATAGCATTAAATGATTTAAATGAACTGTGTTTGTACAGTGTCTTGGTATGAACATTACTCAAAAAAACAGCAATTTATCAGGATAAGTTCCGTTTATATCATAAAGATCATTTAGACAATTCTAAATATATACATGGGTATTTTTATCTATATTGATTCAGAAAGTATGCATATACTAAAAGCATTCCCAAACTACCACCAGAATGATAAAATAATTGCTGTATTTGCCCACACAGAGGAATACAGACAATCCAGGCACCAAAACTACTCTAGTGCATTTGATAGCTTTTGGAGCTATTAATATGCTGTATTTTTATGGTAAATATCTTTGTTATTGCAGAAAATATATGCAATACCATATAGCTAGTCAAACAGTCAGATATTTCAATAGCATCAATAATCAATTGTCTCGTTCCTAATTGAGTTTGAACCACTGATAGTAATTGACATTAATGTAGTAATTAAGTGTCCAATGATCAGCACTTTATGACATGGTTACATAACTCCGTTGGTGGGGCAGCCTTCAACTACGTCCTTTGTACGGCTGAATAACCTTATGGGCATCCCCGCTGGAAGTTGACATGCGATGCTACTCAGCCCCCCACCATCCGCTTCTCTGTTTGAAATTGCTGAACACTATTGTAACAAGGCGACAAAAAAGAACTAGTAACCATAGTGTATGCTGCAAATACTCTTTATGTCTGTAACAATCTACTATTAATAATAAACTAACGAATTGGTCAAGCATACGTTGGCTGCTGAAATATGCCAATATTGTAGTTCAATGGCGTCTCTAGGATTCATATTTAGTGTGGGGCACATGCAGGGCTGTATCTACTACAAGGCAAAGAAGGCATTTGCCTTGGGCGGCACTTGCAGGGGGTTTGCCTTATTTTATGGGGGCCCAATATCTCGCCGGCTGGGGCAGGCAGCCAGTTGTTTCCCGGGTGGGCAGCAAGGGAGCACTTTTCCCTGAGCTCTCCTGCTCAGCGCCCTGGCGCGACCCGCAGTGATGCCGAATATGACGTCAGTCTGGCTCCTGGCAACACTCTGCGGCATGTGAGGGAGCTGAGCAGGGAGATTACAGCTCCCTCAATGACAGTGAAAAATCCACCCAGCAGTCCCAAAAGTAGGGAAGCTGGATTGATTTAAATTTAAAAATAATAATAATTGTGAGTGTTGGGGGAAAATGTATGTGTGTGTGTGTGTGTATTTGTCAGTGAATGTGAGTGAGTGAGTGAGTGAGTGTGTGTGTCAGTGAAAGTAAGTGTGTGTGTGCCAGTGAGTGAGTGTCAGTGAATGTGAGTGTGTGTGTGTGTGTCATAGAATGTGAGTGTGTGTGACAGTGAATTTGAGTGCGTGCGTGTGTCAGTGAGTGAGTGTGTGTGAGTCAGGGATTGTCAGTGAATGTGTGTGTCAATGAGTGATTGTGTGTGTGTCAGTGATTGTGTGTGTATGTCTGTCTGTCAGTGAGTGTCTGTGAGTGCTTATGTGTGTCTGTCAGTGAGGGTATGCGTCTGTCAGTGTGTGTCTGAATGATTGTATGTGTCTGTCAGATTGTGTCAAATTAGTGAGTGTGTGCCGGTCCGTGAGTGTGTTTCTGTCAGTCAACATGTGTGTTAGTTAATAGGAAGAGGTGTGGCCTTGGCAGGAAGGGGCAGGTAAATTTAAATTAGGGGGTGTCTGAGATTTGTCATGCCTAGGACAGCACCATTTCAAAACACACCAATGGGCACATGGTGGACCAGGGACAAAAGTAGGGGGCAGTTATAAAATGTGTATGTATGTATGTGTGTGTGTGTATATATATATATAATATATATACGCTCCCTTAATCCCTCTGCAAACTGCAGTCTCAGCCATGTAGGTAATGTGTCACACCTTAGATGAAGCCGCACTGTCAGTTCAGCTCGTGTCTACCCCATGTATTGAATAATCCATGTTTTACTTCCTCCTTTTCCATGTCGTGGATGTTGTGTGTATTGTATGCAGTACATGTTTTGAATACATTGTGTGTGTGTGTATAGTGTATGCAGTGTCTGTGTTTGTGTAGTGAATGCAGTGTGTGTAGTGTATCTAGTGTTTGTGTGGTGGATTCAGTGTGTCTATTGGATGCAGTGTCTGTGTAGTGGATGTTTATGTAGTAGTTTCTATGTAGTGCATATAGTGTTGTATAAGTGCTGGGGGGCGAGCCTGTTAAATTGTGCTTATTCCCCCCTCCCTGCCTCTTACCTGTAGCCTGGAAGGGGGGACAGTATGTAGGAAGGTGACAGTATAGCGGAGCAGTGTGTAGGAAGGTGACAGTGTGGGGGGCAGTGTGTAGGAATGTGACAGTGAAGGTGACACTCACTGATTTGACAGACACACACACTCTCTCACACATTCAGTGACAGACACACACACACACACACACATTTACTGACAGACACACACACATTCTCTCACACACACTCACAAATTACTAATACTGTTATTTTAATTTGTACACCCTCCCTACCTTTGGGAGAGCTGGAGTGGATCTGTCCCTGTGATCCAGTGGGGCTGCTGTGAGCACATCAGAGGCAGCATGGGGAGCTGTGATTCTTCTGCTCTGCTCCCATCTAGTGATATAGGAAGCCGGAATATGAAGTCATATTCCAGCTCCCGCCATAGGTAGACAGCGCGCAAGGGAGTAGAGCACAAGGATCACATCTCCCTCATGCTGCCCATCTCGGGGGTCCATAAAGTGACAGGAGGAAGCACCGCCACTTGGGACGTCCATGTGGGGAGATCTAAATTTCGAATAAGGTGGTAATCATGGTGCTGTGTTTGTCTGCATGCTCAAATCTTTATAGTTTTGCATAAAATAATAGCCACCCCCTCACTGAAGAAAAATACTTAATAAAGGTATGAGCACAGGGCTGGTGCAAGGATTTTTGCCGCCCTAGGCAAAAGAAGAATTTGTCCCCCCCCCCTATGTGACATCACAATGCCCCACCCATAGGATCTGCCATAAGAACTAACACCAGTGCTGCACACAGTCTGTGTTTACATTAAAAAGCCTGCAGAGACAGGCTATAGACACCAGAACCACTTCATTAAGCTGCAGTGGTAGAGGTAGGGAGCTGAGCTTAGTTGTTTGCATGCCTTTTACTGTGTGTTCTGCATTATGGGGTGGTTCCATACCAGCTCATGTGCTGTGCATGGCGGAAGCTGGGAAGAGGAAGAAGGAGATCATCAGAAAGCATGAAGAAGGAATGCAATTGACTGACTTTGCCAAAGAGTATGGAACGAGTGCATCCAGAATTGCTACCATCCTAAAAATGAAAGAAAAGAAAACTGGGAGAGATGCAGCCAAGGAGTCACCAGGGTCTCCAAGCAACAGCCACATGTTCTGGAGGAGTTCAAAAAGTTGCTCCTGTTCTGGATTGAACAGAAGCAGCGTGCAGGGGACACAGTGACCGAGGCGATCATCTGCAAAAAAGCCAAGGTCTTGCACACTGACCTTCTCAACCAACAGCCAGGAATGTCAGCCAATGCAGAAGGCTGCAAGGCCAGCAGGAGGTGGTTTGAAAGGTTCAAGACCAGATCTGGCATTCACAGCATGGTCAGGCATGGAGAGGCCGCAAGTTCCGATGTTGATGCAGCTGAGGAATTTGCTACTGAGTTCCTTGAGGTCATGGTTTCAGAGGGCTACCTTCCTCAGCAGGTCTTCAACTGCGACGAGACTGGGCTCTTCTGGAAGAGGATGACAAAGTGTATTTTCATCACGGAAGAGGAGACCTCATTGCCTGGACACAAGCCGATGAAGGACCGTCTCACCCTCCTGTTCTGCGCCAATGCCAGTGGGGACCTTAAGATCAAGCCCCTGCTCGTCACACAACTCTTGTTTGTGCAGTGGGTCAATGTGGTTATTGGTCCTGCTGTCAAGCAGTACCTTGTGGACAATAACCTGCCACTCAGGGAACTCAAGGAGGCATGCCAAATGTGGGTAAACCTACAGACTTTTCTACAGCAGCACCACCCAGATAAGGCTCTAGCCCAGAGACTTGTGAACAGTTTTGACACCGACATCATGTCCTCTTTCCGAGGGATGCTTAAAAGGCGCCAGAGGCAGCAGACAATGGAAAGGTTCCTACAAAAACAGCCTAGACCTGAAGAAGAACCTGCTTGTGTTAGTGCTGCCCAGTTGCCCTCCTCCTCCTCTTCCAAAAAGTGTTGAAATTGTTTAGAAGTTTTCCATGTTTTCCCTGTTGACGTGTGATTTATGTACAGTTGAAGGGTATTGTACCATGTTTGAAAAGTCTGCCATGTTTTAAAAGTTGATGTGTGATGTTTTAAAAGTTGAAGTTGGATGTTTGAAATGTTATTGCTTGATTAATCATGTCCCTGTACAGTATTTATACCTTTAAAGTGCACTTTATAAAGAGTTTTGAACAAATAAAATACTTTAAAAAAATCTATATCTGACCTCCGGAACGCATTAATTGGTTTTCAGTGCATTCCTATTGAAAACCGCGTTTCGGTTTACGAAACGTCCCAGAGAACGCATTCAGTTTGTAAACCGAAGTACCACTGTATTAGAAACATACATTTCTCAGTATGTACCATTTGGTAATAAATATAAAAGAAACTAATTAAAACCAATGTGGCTTGGTAGAGAAGTAAAACAAGAGATTAAAAATAAGAAAAGGGCATTTAAAGCATTTAAAGCGGACAAACCAGAGGCATCCTATATAAGATATAAGGAAGTCAATAATGCTTGCAAAAAGGCAATTAAAGTGGCTAAACTAGAAAATAAAAAAATTGAAAGCCAAAGAATGCAAAACCAACCCCAAAAATGTTTTCAAGTACATCAATTCTAAAAAAAAACAAAAAATGAAAGTGTAGGTATACTGGAAACAGAGATGGGTTTGTTAGTTAATGAAGACCAGAAAAGGGCAGAAAATAAAAAAAAATGTGTTTTTTTCAGTATATATTAATGAGGATTCTGTGGCAAGAGATATGCAAATGATTGCTGCAAAAAACTTGCAGATAACTGATTGGATGACTCGAGACAAGGTTATACAGCAGTAAAAGAAAATTAATGTAAATAAAGCTCCAGGCCTGACGGTATTCACCGATGAGTATTTAAGGAGCTATGTGGGGAAATAAGTGAACCTCTGTATTTAATCTTTCAAGATTCTCTTGTTCCAGGTATTGTACCGGAGGATTGGAGGAAGGCAGATGTCATTCCTATATTTAAAAAGGGTTTAAAATCCTTGCCTGAATATTATAGACCTGTGAGCTTCACTTCTGTGACTGGAAAATATTTAAAGGACTGTTAAGGGATAATATTCAGGAATTCATTGGGAAGAACTTTGTTATTAGCAATAATCAGCATGGTTTTATGAAACATGTCAAATTAACCTAATTCATTCTACGAAGAAGTAAGTAGAAGTATAGATCAGGGTGTTGCAGTGGATGTTATCTACTTGGATTTTGCCAAGGCATTTGATATGGTTCCTCACAATAGGTTAGTCTTCAAACTAAAAGAAATTGGTCTAGATAAATATTATTGTTCTTGGATAGAACATTGGCTTAATGATAGAGTATAATGAGTTGTCATGGTAAATTTTCAATCTGGACAAAAGTGGTAAGTGGTGTCCCTCAGGTTTCTGTTTTGGGACCGCTTCTATTTAACATATTTATAAATAATCTTGCAATAGGCATTGAAAGCCATGTTTTAGTGTTTGCAGTTGACACAACACTTTGTAAAGTAATAAAATGTGAGGAAGATATTGCTTTGCTGCAGAGGGATTTAGATAGATTGGGGGACTGGGCAATAAAATGGCAGATTAGATTTAATGTAGAGAAATGCAAAGTTATGCACTTTGGGGTCAAGAATGCACAAGCAACTTACACCCTAAACAGTAGTGAATTAGGGATAACCACACATGGGAAGGATTTGGGAATCGTTATGTACAACAAATTAGGCAGCAATATGCAATGTCAATCTGCAGTTGCCAGTTAGGTTTTGTCTTGTATAAAAAGGGGCATAAATTCTCAGGATGAAAATATTTTGCCTCTTTATAAATCGCTGGTAAGACCACACCTTGAATATGCTATTTTGGTCACCTGTTCTAAAGAAGGATATCATGGCACTAGAAAATGTGCAGAGACAAGCAACAAAATCGATAAAAGGAATGGAGCATTTTAATTACGAATAAGGTTAAAAAATGTTTAAATCTCTTTAGTTTGGAAAAACAGCACCTCAGAAGGGATATGATAACATTATACAAATATATTCGGGACCAGTACAAACCATCATCTGGAAATCTATTCATAAACAGGGCTAGACATAGGACATGTTGTCACGCATTTAGGCTGGAAGAAAGGTGATTTAATCTAAGGCAAAGAAAAGCTTTTGGGAACATGAAATACACGTTTATACAATGATCAGTCAGTGCAATTCCATGACTTTGTAATTTCAGAGAGGGAATGTGTCAGATATAATTATGGAGTGAAAAATACACATATGACAGGGCATTACCTATGAATGCCGCAATTAAGTTTTTTCTCTAGGTCAGGGATAGGCAACCTTCGGCACCCCAGATGTTGTGGACTATATCCCCATAATGCTCTTACACGCATAATGCTGGCTAAGGATCATGGGAGGTGTAGTCCAAAACATCTGGAGTGCCGAAGGTTGCCTATGCCTGCTCTAGGTCTTAGTTTAAGATTGGTCATCATTCAGGTTTCAAGGTTGCTATTCAGCTATTGGATATCTACACGAGGAAGCTGACAAGGGCGCCCATAAAGTCATCAATGTACAGGCATTTAAGGGATACGTTCATCAATGCCAAAGGATGTTAAAAGAGCATTTGTTGAGCCAGTTACTTGTTGAACCTGCGAGCTGTGTTAGTAAACATCACAGATTTAAAAGCTGACTTTGGAGCAAAATGGTCAGGATGCTTACAGTGTCTCTTTAATGTTAAAAAAGTAGATAGTATAATATTTTTTTATCTGGATATCTGTTAACGAGTCAGGTAGTAAAATAAGTAGATGAAATGTTATTGTCATGACAATGACATCATATTTGACATGGTGCACTTAAGCTGAACATAGCAATAAACAGATTTCAGAATGTCGCATGCGTTAATTGTTTCAGTCATTTTTCAAGTGGGGTCAAGCAGGGGTATCAAGACATTTAACTCCGTATGTGGCCCTCAAGACTTTAAGAGTTATTTACTAAAGTGAGAATTCAAGGGATATTCAAAGTGAATTAAAAACGGTAAGACCAACAGTACTGGAAAAATATATTTCAGTATGCTTTCATAACAGCTACTCTGGCCCTAAATTTGAAATTCAAAAACATTTGATACTCATACGTGACAAAGGACTATTTAGGCATGTTCTGAAACTTCTTGGAGACATTATTTGCCTGACTTTCCTGTTGACCTCATTGAATAAAAATTGCCATAAAATCAAACAGCTATCAAGCATTGCTATCAGCAATATGGTTTAAACAAGCGAACATCAAAGTTTAACAAACATGACAGAGTACAGAGAACAAGCTTTCATACCCCCACCAAAAAAATCCACTCAGTATGAAAATCTGAATTTATCTGCCCCTTAAATAATTTCTAGTACAAGTCTAGCTTATTTGTAGAGTACAATGTATACAGTACACAATTAGCTATGGTTATCAGACTAAGTTAACGTCATATTAAAGGTGCACCAGTAAAGCTAAATAGCATGGATTTATAAAATATAGTGCAAATAATAGAAGAATTCTCTAAATTGATGCAGTTTATGTTTTGTGAATACATGTGTTGGATTTTATTGTCATGTTGCCAGTATTAGGTAATGTTCCACTTATTACTCCAGCTATATAAATCAGGGGGAAAAGTAATATACTTATTTTAACACAGTCGTTTTCACTCTTCTGGATTCTAAAAAACACAGAATCCTTTCTCAGTGACTCTCCATGTGGTGTGGGGTCAACTGTCCGCTGACATTAAAGTTATAGCCTCATTCACTAGGAGGTTAAGATTGCCAAGTTTGCATTTACCATACGGTCGTGAATGAACCAGGTAAATACATACTTGCATTTTATAAAATGTTCTATTCTACAGGCCACACCGTTAGTCTCTCAGCATTGTTCTTTATAATAAAGAATAATTTAAAAGTATGTTTTTGCATACATTTTGAAACATATTAAGTTGAGTATCTTGTTTTTTCTGTCAGATCCTACAAAAAATAATATTATACTGTTTAGGTTTGCAAACATATATGCTTCTTTAAAACAATCAGGTGAGATTTATCAGTGCAAAATCAGTCTTACCTTGTTTGGGAGGCAATAAAGATAGGAAAAAGACTTGTTAAAAAAATGGGCATCTCCTGAGCCGTCACAGTATCTGCAATGGGTCTTTTATTTACAGTTACAAGAAAAAGTATGTGAACCCTTTGGAATGATATGGATTTTTGCACAAATTGGTCATAAACTGTGATCTGATCATCATCTAAGTCACAACAATAGACAATCACAGTCTGCTTAAACTAATAACACACAAAGAATGAAATGTTGCCATGTTTTTATTGAACACACCATGTAAACATTCACAGTGCAGGTGGGAAAAGTATGTGAAGCCCTAGACTAATGACATCTCCAAGAGCTAATTGGCAGGGCCGGACTGGCCCACCGGGATACCGGGAAATTTCCCGGTGGGCCGCGGCACCTGGGGCCGGTCTGACCGCTCCTGTGATCCCGGCGGCCGTGTGTGAGCTGTGCGGCCGCACATAGCCCCATGGGAGCAGGGGGAGCCAGGCGGCCGGCTCACACATGGCCGCCCGGGATCATTTAAAAAAAAAAAATAATAATTTGCGGCGGGGGCGGAGCTTACTGTGCGGCGGGGGCGGGGCTTAGCATGCGGCGGGGCGGAGCTTACTGTGTGGCGGGGCAGGGCTAAGCATGCGGCGGGGGCGGAGCTTACTGTGCGGCGGGGTCGGCTAATTGCAGCATGGGAAGCAGGAAGGAGTCCCTGCTTCCCCAACAACCAGCCTCCAGGAGCTCCAAGCAGGAGGGAAGAAGGAGGTCAGTGTGTCTGTGTGAGTGTGTGACTGTGTGTGACTGTCTGTGTGTGTGACTGTGACTGTCTGTGTGTGTATGTGTGTGACTGTCTGTGTGTGTGTATGTGACTGTCTGTGTGTGTGTGACTGTCTGTGTGTGTGTGACTGTCT